ATTTTCAGCCATCAAATCGTCGCACAGGCCTTCAGCAGCTTTGCACTTCTCTCTCAGCTGATTAACTTCACTTTCTGAATATTTCGCAGACATATCTTGCAAATCCCTTAGTTCGCATTTTAGTACTGTGTTTTCGTCACGATAGTCCTGATAGAGACTTTCCATTGTCCCAAGACGCTCCTGCAGTGATTTTATGGTTTCGTTGTCGTTTGCGGAAAACATGCTGGATGCTCCTTGCCTCAGCTGAGAGTTTTCAGCCTCGAGCATGGCACATTTATTTTCCATGATTTCCAACTGTGCTTTAATGGAGCGTAAGTAAAACTTGGTTTCGTCTAAACTTTCGGTCGGCGTACTGCTTCGTTCAGACGTTATTGATGCTCCAGTTTTCGCAGTCACCATGCTACTGACGTCGCACAAAGTACTGGCTACTGATTCGTATGATATTGTTCGAATCATACCATCGCGAGGCGTTTCAGCTTCCGGAGAGTCACTGTCCGCACCCCTAAACATTGAATGCTGACTTTAATTATGTTTGAATGAAAGCACAATTTGACTTTAGAAATTGAAAATTTCTTCTGATAGTGGAAACACTGCCGACTTCTCAATTTTTAACTGTTAAATAACGCTGTATAAGGGACGTTCAAAACCCTTTTCAAACAACCTTTGAAATGTTGTTCCAGAATCCACATAGCAGTAGTGGTGCGCAGTAGTGCACCTTACAGGTTGACAAAACCTGGTCGTTTTTCGGTCACAGAAATGTCAGCGAATGCCTGACAGGATAATGCCAGGAAATGAATCACAGGACGAAGAGGAGGTTTCAAATTCTAATTTGATGTATGCAAGTTACAAGATGTCCGCGACTCGATATTTTGTGTTCATTCGAATGGCATATTGAATCAGTGTAAAAAACTTGTTGTACCTAGATGACTTTAGCTGTTAGAATCATAAGAGTTATGTAAATCAAATTTCCTTGAGAAGCGGCCGTTTAGAGCAGAATGTGGCGGTACTTGACACAGAACGAAGCCTGTTTTAACGCGTGACCAAAATTTACAGAATCCCATGTTTTCTCACAATGCATCCGTGCCGATCCCAAGCCTGGATGAAAAAGGAGGATGGTTGGGGACCGTGGTGAGGTCTTGCGTAAACTAATCACCTGCTCCCACGATATTGCAGTTATCAAACTTTATGTCATTTCAGTTGTCGCCCGGGATTACCAGAGGTCGTACAATCCGTTGGAAAAATGAGGCAGACTGCGAAAGCCAGCGATCAGAACCTGCTTCAAGCCTTCTGGTAGTTAGGGGCGCAGCAGCACGGCGATGGCTGCCGAACATTGCCACGAAAAATACGACGAAACCAGTCAGCAACAGAGCCGCTACTGATTCTGAACGAAGGAGGCAGCGAATGCAGTGCCACAATAGTACGTCACATAAGGTTCCGCAGCAACGAGACCCATAGAGAGTACACAGTTAGATAGTGGAACATTTCCGCGCTAACAGGGAAACGCCA